GCTTCAGCATTCCGTCAGCCCGGAGCACCCCTGAATATGAGCAGACATTCGCTCCCGACAGTGTTAAGAAAGGCGATTCTAGAGTGTGTGGAGCTTGGACATTGATGCTGTCATATATGATTCCACTTTCGTTGGCCATATCTCAAGTCATTTTCCCTTCTCAACAACAAACCTCAGACATTTGGAGAGGGGAGCTAAGGCAAAAGCAAATATACCCCTGTAATTTAGTGTCATGCTCTCCCGTTCTCTTCAGACGATGAGAAAGGTATTGAAGAATGACAGGAAAGTCAACATCCTAAACTCGGATCTACGTGCCGTTATCAGTCAGGGCACCTTGGAGAGGTCTAAGAAAGCCCTGCCAACTAGCCCCAGGAACATGGATGAATTGGAGGCCCACACAGAGATGAAATGTAAATTTTCTTCCATAACGTCCTTTATTGAAATGTTTGCCCTATAATCGGGGCTAGTACAGCCATCACTAATGTATGCATTTCTTAGTAGAAAGTAGAATGTTATTGACTCTTTAATAGTCTCGCTCCTGGGTGATTTGGGCTCACCTTCTCACCTAAAGTTTGGAGGCCCAAGCCCCTCCTGCAGAGCCTGAGGACCGGCCCCCACAAACATTCGCCCCCACAAACATTGTAGCCAAAAAACACAGCGGAGCAGCTCTGCTGTGCCACACGAGGAGCCTCTGGGAGTTGGAATAGATGGCAATGGGTTTGGTTATTAGTATTATTATTACTATTTCTTATTGCTTTGGGTGGCTCAAACCATTTGTGCTTGACTATTGAACTAAAGTTGGCAGCGCCACCCAGCACCACCATGGAAGAACGGCCTGGCAAACTGCTTCTGTAAGGAGCCCTACAGCCCAGGAGCCCTTCTCCTCCGTTCTACGCTGTAACACAAGGAGCTGCCGTGAGTCATTATAAAGTCAAAGTCAGCGAGTTTACATTCCCCTGGTTTCTTCTTCTTTACCTGACGGCGCTTTTCCCGCTACAGGGCACGATGTATGCCCCAGAAATTTCTGGGGGTCCTGTACCCCCAGAAAAATTATTAAAAAGTCAAAGCATAAACAAAAACTCACCGCCACCGAGTCAATTCTGACTCACGGCAATCCTATCAGCCGTGTAGAAACCAGTGGGTTTCCAAGACGACGGAATCAGAAAGAAAGCCTCTTCATTCTCCTGATTGTGGGGAGTGGTTTCAAACTGTCGACCTCACAGTTAGAAGCCCAGCACGCCATCATTAGGCCACCAGAGCTCCCCAGGGCCTACCCAAACACCTGACATGCTATCTATGTTAACATGTATTTGTTTAGCACATGAGTGAACATGAGTATGGTTGTTAATCGACTATATTAATTTCTGGAAATCAACCTTGTGTGTCACCTTTCAAGGAAAAAAAATCATTACAATCCTGGGCTCTGTCTTGTACCTGCACATACTCCACAACATCTCCTCTGTCCTGTCTGAACGGGGCTTGAGCGCTCTCTGCCTTACTGGACTCTGCTGGCATCACTGCCCTTCCCCTGTACGCATTTCATTGCTGTACAAACAAGTGCCCTTGAGCTTGGGGGCATTCTTGCCCTGTACTATAGGATCACTGTAATTATTTTTTCATGAGGAAAAAAAATCCCTTCCATGGAGAGCTGTTATTACCACCACCCTGTGGGGAAGCAGTGGAAATAAAGGGAGCCAGGACTTGAGAGGGGGTGGGGGAGCGGTAAAGGCGAGCCGCTAGCAGAGGGGAACTGAAGACCGAGCTCCTCTGCCCTCTCGCGGCCAGGGTAGGAAGCGCAGGCCCTTGTGGCCAGCGCAGGGTGCGAGGCTCCCAGGGTTCACTTCGCAGATCCCTGCTCCGGGATGCCCAGAGGACTGAAGAGCTCCTCCCCATGCCGCTCGGAGTACATCCGGGACACTCGGTAGCTTTGTGCACCGTAACTTGTGCGCCTTCAGTTGTCAGCTGTGTCTTGCTCATCAGGATCAGCCCAGCACTTCGACGAGGGTCCCAGGACTGGGTGGGCCCGTGGGCGCAGGACTGCACAAGAGCACCACTTGGGCATCAATAAAGATTTTTCATAAATACCCTCTGCCCACCCCTACCCATCTATCTTGAGATGAGCAGGCACGTCCGCGCGACTCTGGCTGACCCAGAGACTCCCCTGGGAATCCCCCTCCCAGGTCACTGGCGGTCCGACCCTCCTCCCCTGCAAATCCTCGTTGGCCACCCAAAGTCCAATGCCTTCCAGACTGCCCGCTGGCCTGCCTGGACCTTCGTTCCAGTTAGCATCCCGTGTGTACTGGTGAACCCTCCCAGCGGAGAGGGTGCCAACTGCATCGGGGCACAGCACCCCAGGAGCCCCTGAACACTGATCGACGTTGGCAGAGCCTCACAGAGGCCTGCAGTCAGCGACTGGGCTTGCTCAGCTCTCCAATATGTGGGGGCATTCTAAACATGAGGAAGCCGATGGCTGTCCTCGCAGACTGGCTGTTGCCTGCCCGGGTGCAGCATGCCAGACCTGATGTCACACACACTAGGTTCCACCCTCCGGTTGGCACCCTCTGAGTGTGTAGCCCCAGGCAGCTGCTTTGATTGCCCCTGCCAGTTAAATGCGTTCATCAACTGTGCCTCTAAGGAAATCGGGGAGGCCAAATGAGGTCATGTCTGTACCGTGCAGGGAGCTCATTTGAAGACAGGCTCTAATTACAAGGTGTCGGTTTTTTGTTTTTTCAAAATACCCATTTCCATTTCAACAGGTGGAAGAGGTGCTTAGTTACAGGCATAACCATCTGAGTCTGAACTGGATGACCACAGAAGTGACAAACCCAGCGATGGAATCCCTCCTTTGTGTTCAAAATGAACAGGAGTCTAAGGCAGTGCCTTTGAACTAGGATTGTCTGGATGCTGTTCCTAGGTTACCTCGTACACAAAAACAGACAGAAACACTCTTGTCTGTTTTCTTCTGGTTGTTTGTCCTTGTATGCCTATAGGTTTACGCAGTTTCATTTCTTTGCTGGGAACATTATCGGACCTGAGTGTATTCCTCAATTGTTTGTCTTCAAGTCTCCAAGCGTTTGTGTGTAAAGGGAAAGAAGTGGGTGTGGGTCATTTTAGGCAAAATACTGTGTCCATTGCACGTGTGGTCTGACAGGCTCTTGTTGGGCGCTGTTTGAAGACTTGCAAGGCTGTGAAGGGCAGGGAGTGACCTCGCACTCTTTGAAGCATGGCAGGGAACAAGCTTGTGTCACAAGGGGATGTGTATGAGGGTGTGCTGTTGGTGAGCGTGTACATGGTTGGGTGGATGAGGGGGGGTGTGCATGGGTGGAGTGGAGTGGGTATGCAGGTAAGCGTGCGTGTGTGAGGGTGAACATGTGTATGGGTGAACGTATGTGTGCACACTTGTGTGTGAGGGTGGGCTGAGTGAACATGTGTGCATGAGTGAACACAGGTGCAGGTGGGGGTGGGCTTGTGTGTACCCGGGTGAGTTTGTGTGCACATGGTCACCGAGTGTGTGTGGATGAGTGTGTGCGAAGGAGCGTGTGTGAGGGGATGTGTGAACATTCAGGTGTACAGGTGAACATGGTGTGTGCACCAGAGTGGAAGTGAGTGTGGAGGAGGGGTTTTATCCACCTGGGGAGGGAAGCAGCTGTCTGGGAGTTCTGCAGACAGGTCCCAGGTAAGTGTTGGGTTTGATTTGTTTAAAACCAAAAGTGATTTGGTTGTGGCCCTGAATGGATCCGGCCCCTCCAATCAATGTGCCACTGGAAAGCAACTTCAGTAGGGTCTGCTGGACCCGGTTTCAAGATCTTCATCTGATTCCCCCCTTGAAGAGCTGAGCGTGCTTCAGATAAAAGCATGATTTCATTGCTTTAAGAACTGTAAGAATCCACGATCAAGTGATTTTTCTTATAAAGCACTGCTTTCTCACCACCAGTGAGCAGAGGTAGGGCAGGGTCCTCGAGCCTGGGCCCTAAGCTGGGACGCGAATGGGAGGGTACGACAGATTAAAGGAGCAGAGAAAGGGAGGCACGGCTTTCAGGACACAGGCTCGTGTGCAACGTTTAGGAAAGAAGAAACAGAGGAATCTGGAGTGGGGAGTCTCGCAGAAAACAGAGGCCTGGGCACTAGGAACACAACTTCCACTGGCTCCTGTCTTCCTCAGTCTCCTGGCCTTGTGCATACCCCTGTGCTCTGAGACTCGGAGCAGGGCTGAAATCATTAACGAGCCCATGAAGACTGCAGGAGACTTGGGGGTTGTCTTTTGCCTCACAGAGATGAATCGAAAGCTCAGGAAGGGACTTGGAAGTCAGGTCCAACCTGTGTCTGATGTCTCTCTCCAATCTTTGCTTCTTGGAAGCCGTCATTGTAGCTTCTGTGTGCTTCTCACTCCCTCCTTGTTGGTCTTCCACCAACCTGAATTGTAACAGCAGCAACACGTGCAGAATTGCATTGCTCTTGGGTGCTCAGTGGACAGCTGAAGGTTTACAAGCCGCCACCGTTAGACGTTTCCATAGACTACAACTTGTCTCGGATTCTCACTCGGTCCTTCCTTTAAGCAAGATGAGATCACGAATGGAAACACTGCCTGGAAACAGCCCAACGGTCTCATCCTATGTTTAAAGCGCCGTGAGGCGTCTGCCAAGCCTTTGTCATCCCCTCTCTCTGCAGCCTTCACAAATGAGGCATGCTAGAAAAATGGTGTTTTCGTAACTACGTGCCTTGGAAGGGGCTTGTTTTTGTAAACGAGCTTAGCGGATGCAAAACGGACTATTGTCGATAAAGTGGTCAGCCTGTCGGCGGAATGCACGCTCCTGAGCTTGTCAGAGATGGCAGATGGCTGGAGCTGCGAGCCGCAGGGAACGCTGCACGTTGGCAGGTTGCCTTCTCACTGTTCTTATGGAGTTCGGGCTCAAGAGTGATGTCTCAGTGGGACCAGGAAGTTCCCCCCGCTTGTTTGCACTTCGAGGCTAACCGTTTGTGCAGAGAGAGCTTGGACTGCCCAACGCTACCTCTCCTAACCCTTGGGGAGAGTGTTCACGTGCTCCTTGTTTCTGCAACACCAAATCCCCGAGAACTTCACTTCAGGTGGTGACAAACAGGAGCTGAGAAGGTGTGGGAGGAGGAAGCTGCTCCTGACGGGTGTTCAAAGCCACCCCAAGCTCGGGCAAGCGGATGCTTCTGGTGGGAGCAGACCAGAAAAGAAGCACAGACCGGAAAGGGCACGTCCTCACCTCTAGTCAGTGTCCACAGCTCTTCTTCACATCAGAGTGTCTGAGCTCAGGGGTGGGTGGTCCGCACAGCATTCAGTTCAACATAGGCCGCTGCTGTGGGTATGATTCCATGGTTGTGGTGGTGGTGGCTGTGGCTGTGGCTAGGTGTCAGTGCATGGGTTCTGTGGACAATCGAATAAAACGCGGCCCGATCCTGGACAGCCTCACAATCGTTTGAGTCCATTGTTGCAGCCACTGTGTCAATGCATCTGGTCAAACGCCTTCCTCCTTTGGCTGCCTCTCCTTTACCAAGCATGCTGTCCTTCCTCACAGCCTGGCCTCTCCTCTTAACATGTCCGGAGCATGTGAGACAGTCTCACCCTCCTTCTTCTGAGGAGCATTCTGGCTGTCCCGGAGCCCTGGTGGCATAGTAGGGTGTGCCCTGGGCTGCTAAGCACAAGGTCCACAGTTCAGAAC